TTAGGTCTACTTTATATGAATGGAAAGGTAAAACATAGACCTACAACTTTCATGTGAAGGTCTGGTTCTAAAAAGATCGTTTTCAAGTCCAAATTGTAACAACAACTAAGAAGTCTGAATCTATCATGTAGCTCAGACACTGTTCAATGTTCAGCCCATATCTTGAGTCCTAAAAGTCCAAATAATCTCAATTTTTTTTTGTCTGGAAAGCTAAGATAATTTTCTAGAACTTCCATGGTACAAGTGGTTTTAATTTTGACGTTATCAATTATGTGTTATTCAAACAAGAGATGATAAAAATTGTCACCAAGTCAAGAGTTGACCACTTACTCATCAATTAGTTATCAAATCAATAGTTTTTAATTTTGACCTATAAAAGAAGGCATTTGCCATACATTTAGGCATCTTAGTTTCCAAATCAAGATCATGATATTGCTTTCTCTCTTTGTATTGCTTAAGTTTTGCTTTCATTAATATTAAGTTTATGTCTTTCATTTTCTTTCTTTTACTTAGTTAACTTTTATCTTATTTATATTCTTATTTTGTTTATTTATGTTTCTTTCTTTCATTATATTATGTTAAGATAAAAAGGTTACACTAATGGTGTAAGAATAAGTATAATATAAACTTAACATGGACCTTAATGTTTGATACTAATATGTTTTGTATTTGTTTTTTTGTTCACTCTTTAATACTTTACTTGTTAAATGACTAATCTAGATTTATGTTGTATAACTCTTGGTACAATAAATACTTGGCACTTTCATAGCTCAACCATATGGTATAACCTACACTTGTGCTATGAAAGGAACTTGATTTGTTGTTAACATAAGTTATAATTATAAATGCCTGACAAGATTTACAAGTATTAGCATTAATCGAATAAGATAACTAATACAATCATGTTAACAATTTATAATTTGATTGAAACCTCCTTTGTGTGTGGTTTTCAATTAAATAATAAAAGTTTATACTATACTTGTTTGACATACTATTAGTGGATCTTCTAACCTTGATATTTGTTATTATCATTGTTTAATCCTTACGTTAATCTTTTATTTCAAAATTCTCATCAACTTCTTCTTCTACTATTACTATTACTATTACTACTACTACTAGTATTATTATTATTATTATTACTACTACTACTATTATTGTTGTTGTGTTGTTATTATTTATAATTATACAATTAACCTCTTTATGGTTCGACCCCGGTCTTGCCGGATTATTTATTACTTCAACACTCCTGCACTTGGAAGAAGACATTAATCTTTTAGTCGTGTTACACAACATCTAGTAAGTGCATGTTTTTGTATTTGGGATTTTAACATAACACATAGCAAACTTTTGAAAACAAAAGGGCACATGGCAAGTGACTATATGCCTGTTTGAGAGTATGGTTGTGGTTGCTTTTGAAAGTGTTTTTCATGCTGAAATGCATCAAAATGATGTGTTTTGATTTTTCAAAAATTATTTTTGAGATGAGAGCATTAAAATGATCCAAAATATATTAAAAATATTTTTTTTTGTAGAAACGTGGTGCAATCGTTCTCTACATGCCATAGAGCATCAACCATAGATTTATTTGTTCTTTTTTTCCTACAGCTATAGTCTAATAATACCATAAGATTAAAGCAGCAAATGTAATCAGAAAACAGATTCATTCTTTCCACACTGTCCATAGCATCTCACAAGGAACAGTAGCCTGTACAAAGCCTTTTTTTGAAGCTGTTTCAAGTCCAAATAGTTTTAACTCAGTATGTGATGCGATAGCAGGATGAATTATGATTCTGTTTCTTTACATTGATAGTTAAAGAGAATTATCAGATTATGAGGTGAAGATTATCAGGCTTGAGACCTACAAATCAAATTATGCCTGAAATTATTGACTTGAGGTTCCACAAAACACACCTCCAGTGTCTGGTAATGTCTCAAAATAGTGGAATTACTAGTGACTACATACACCTTCCATCCCAATCTCTACCTGATTTTCAGATGTCCCAAATGTTGGTTCCCTTTGTATTCTAAAATACATCCTGGTAACTTTACAATAATGCCCTCAATATGAGTGCATAAAACATTACTCTCAATAAAAGTAGAGAAAAAAAGACTACATGGTCGATATTGGAAATATATGGCCGCTTACAAATTATGCCACAAATGTGAATTGAGTTGCCAAAAGGACAGGAAACTAAGATAATGAATTTGATGATAAGATAAAGAATTTGATGATATGCTGGGTTTCAAAGGAAAATTGCCTTCCAAGTCAGTTAGTTCAATCATGTAGAATAACATGCATATCTGTTTTGTTTGTAAGATCAATTAAAGTGTTCTTGTGTTGAGAAAAAATTAAGCTCTGACCATAAATAGCAAAATCTAAGTATCAATCCAGTATAGAACAGAAACAGGAGACAGTATTTCCACTAAAAGAATCATTGACTAACAGCTGCATATGATGATAAATTAGCATTCACATACCTCCAAAACTTGCTAAAGTGAGAACAATTCTCTATTGTAGTTCGTAATTCTTGTTTTTTAGAGCCATGTGCTGATAACAACATGGCCACAATCTTAACTACTCTGGAACCTGATTCTGTTGCCAGTTTCCTAAACAAGTGTACAATTTCTAATTTACAACTGAGCCAGTTCACCAGGGTTATCCATCGATTGCTTTAGAATTGTCTCAGCTCTCCTTTTCTGATCATCATTCTCACTATCTTTCCCAGACCACATGTTGATCTTCTTGATAACCCTGTTCTGAAGGCTCAAATCTGGAGCTCCATCCAGGGAATTCCTTCCAATCCCAATCTTAAATTGCACAGCAGGTCTTTGATTGAAAAACACCTTCTTCTGTCCCTCCTCAGAATCACATAACCTACTCTTCATAGCTTCAATGGCAGGAGCAAATGTCGCCATCACTGACATATTGTTATCCATGGTACGGGTTTGCTCAACGGGATATCTCACAGCTGCTTCATCTGAAAGCTTAGCTGGAGGAACAACATGGGACACTTCCTTCACTCCGAATTGCAGAGGAGCAGCAAGAAACGGGTTACTCACAGTCCTTTGTGTTGCCTTAGCACTGTCACCAAATGCAACAGAGGAAGGTCCTTCGGAACCATTGCAATTAAACTGCTGTGGCAAATTCATGTAAGACACATCCATCTTCTGGCGCTGCCTTAAAGACTCAATACTATCTGCATTTAAATCAGCACGCCCTTCATTCCCTTCCAGCAGCTGAGCATAAGTCTGAGGATCAGGAAATGCAGGTAACCAAGCTGGAATGTGCTCCTCAGGAGGCTCCTCACCAATCTGGGAAAAACTTGGCGCAGGCTTCCTTTCTCTAGCAACTGGGAAAGGAGGAATAGAATAAGCAAATGGGATATCATCTGCATCACCAATATACTGAGCAATCTCCCTAACAATACCCGAACTTGCAAGACAATGGTCAACATCTGAAGCACCAGCAAACCCCTGTGGCAAACCCAACTCTTCCAATCCTTGTATAACATCAAAAACATTGCTCTCCGTCCTACCAGCTAAATTAGCACACAACTGAGCAGCCTTTCCTATATTCCGTATATACCAAGTAGTAACATCAGTAAACGTCTCAAGAGCAGAGTGCTGAAAGGACTGAAAACCCATACTCTCACACATTTGCGCTACAGCAATCTTCCCAATCGCTCGAGCAAATTCATCTCCACTTGCACGGGATTTTCTCTTACCATTATGCCCTACTTTTTCATGCAATCTTCCACTCTCCCCACCTCCATGGCTCATATTCAATACCTCATATCACTTAACATTACATATTAGCATTCAATAGCACCATTCACTCACCCATATATCATCCATCTCACTTCTTATTCCTCCTTTGGTCGCTGAAAAATAAATAAATAAATCACCTGAATTTCTCCAATTTGAAAAAAAAACATGCAAAATTAAAATAAGGAACTAATTACGTAAATAAAGAAGTAAATTTCAATCTTCTGTCATTTTCTTAGCAACAAACCAGAAAGAGATTGAAGCAAACCATAGAGAGAGAGATCTAAAGGAGATTATAGCAAATAAGAAGAAGCAGACGTATAAGAAATGATAAGTGAATGCTTACCGTTGAATTCTAGGGTTCGGAGCGAAACATACTAAAAGCATCGAAGAAGAAACGGAGTTAAATGAGACGACAAGCACAGAAATCGATCGATCACAAGTAGAAACCCTAGGCAGCGAGGAAGGATTGATCGGTATTGGATTAGAAGTTGGATTTAGGTTTTTGAATTTGGGAATCTGAAAACCCTTGTAAACCCTCTTTGAAGAGAGAATTTTTAGCTTCAAGTGTAGAGTAGTGGAGCACTGTAGTGCTGTGTTGTTTTGTTTTTTTAATATAAAAGTAAAAGGATGATTTTGTTTTATTTATTTTAATAACTAAAAAATAAAAAGAGAGAGCCAATTTCTTCTTGACAGGTGACAGCTATCCCCCCATCTTTGGACACCCTGTTATTAACTGGGCATAATTACATTGTTGGTATACCAACTTTTCAATATTTCTCAATCGAGTACATGGATTTTGTTTTTGTTCTAATCTATTAATTATTTCAAAACCTTCAATCACGTATTTTTGTCCACGATGACGTGTCGTTTTACCTATACTAAATGAAAATTACACTGTTATTACAGTAAGGTAATGTTTGGTATAATAGATAATATTTTAAAAAAATAATTAAATATTATTTTTTCATTTTAATTTATATTAAATATTAAAATTAATAATATTATAATAACTTTATATATAAAACTTATACTGACCTAACAGATTGACATCTTAACCAATTCAAGTTTAAAAAAATTAAAGAAGGGATTGATCATATCTGACATGGTAAAAAATATAGGTTAACCTATGACACTAGCAACTCAAGATATAATAAGGGTCAAAAGTTTGTTGTTTTTTTTTTTTGAATTTTTTGGTAAATTAGAGGTTTTTTAATTCTTAAAAAAAAAAATCAAATCAAGCTGACCCTCTTAGCTCGTGACTTAGCCTTTGTCTCAACCCTATCATTGAGTCGAGTTTAAAAATATAAAAGTAATCATTTTTATTTTTATTTTATTTCAAATCAACTTAGTTTGACTCTCTCTACCCGTGACCTTAGCTTGTCCTATAACTATTTTTATTGTTTATGTTACCTGAATCAACATGTAACCTAGGCCTTTTCTCAAGTTAACACGTGGATCATGTTTTAAAGCAATGATAATAATTACATATATTTTTTCATTAACTTGACCTAACCCAAGTTAATCCTTCTGACTAGTAACCCAAGGGTTTTCTAGGGTTAAATTCAATTTAAATTTTAAAATTATGATAATAATTTTTTTTATCATTACATTGACCTGGGAGGTCAATAGTCAACTCGACCTATGATCCAGACCTTATCCCCAGTCAGCTTTTAAGGCAGGTCATCACTCCTTAATCAAAATGATTGGTCTATAACAAGCACTTTAATTTATAAAAAATAAAATAAAGAATGGATTAATCAAGTTTGACCTAGAAAAAACCTAAGTTTACCCGTAATCTAGGCAAATTTATCAAAAACCCTTTGATTTTTTTTAGAATTTTTTTTTCTTGTTTTGATATTTTTTTAAAAAATTTGATTTTATATAAAGGAAAATATATAGTCATTTAATTAATAAATAATAATAGTTGTACTAAGAATTAGACAAGTTTATTCTATCTTTTTTAATGAAACAAATTTTTTTGTATTAAAATAGGTTTATACAGGATAAAAATTTATTTTTGTACAAGATAGATCAAACAACTTCATAAAATAATATTAATGTTCTCACAATCTATATACAACATACCAAACCAAACGGCTTTCATTTTTTCTCATTCAATTATCATAGATTTTATTATTATTTTCATTTTGATAAATCTACTTGTCTCAATAATTATTCCTTAAAAACTCAATGCTTTTTAAAAAATTTGCAATCACATGATATCAATATATTTGTATGAAATTGTAATCACTGTAATCGTAATATTACTGTATCTATTAATACGTTATCATAAAAATAATTCTTAATCTCTGATGACTTCCCATCAAAAGGAGAAATTAAAAGAAAAAAAATCAAGCACTTGAAAACTAATTCGGAGACATAATTTATCATAAACAAAAATTCATAAAAGAAGAAAAAGTAATCCTTCCGAAAGAGGGTTTTTCTAAGGATTTATTCTAATTTAAATACTAATATTTATTCAAATGAAATATTTTTTTAGAGGGAAATTCTTAAAAAACGCCAAAATGGAGAATTGTCAAATTCCTTAATTAGAAAGTACTTAATTAGTATGATACAAATTAAAAACTGATAAATCATAATTAAAAAAGAAGATAAATTAAAATTCATGTACTCAATTGCGAAAATGTAAAGTTAAGGAGAAATAACACATCATAATATTATAAAACAAAGCAATTGACATTAAACAAAAAATAAAATAAAATAAAGTTCTTATACTTGATTAACTAAAAAAGTGTAAAGTTGGTATACCGAAGTGTAATTATACCTAGTACCTTCTATTTCATAAAGTTGTATATAATTTATTCCTTATACCTTGATAAGCCAATCAATTAATTTCCACAGAGTTGAGATTAACGCCCCCCTAAAGCTAAATAATAGCCTCAAATGGGACTATCTTCTTCGGAGGCTCAACTTCGCTGGCTGCTTTCTGATTACCGTCACAGGTTGATTCTTTTAAGAAGTGTAAGAACATAATTTCCTATAAATATATTATTAGGATGCGTGGATGACAATTTCTGTCTATGAAAACTGATTTAATAATATCATTATCTTTGATACCTAGAAGAAGAAGAAGAAGAAGAAGAAGAAGAAGAGACTGCTGTGAGCATTCTTGAAACTTAAGAGAGTTTATTCAATGATATAAACAAAACTTGATTTAATCTTAATTTTTCTCTTCGAGATGATAGCTGAAGTTATTATGAGTTGATAGAAAGTATTCTCAAGATTGGAAGTGGAAAAACACTCTTCACGTTCTTGCTTTCATGGAGGATATGGTAAAAAAAAAGAAAAAAAAAGAAATAACTTCGTTGTGTGACAGCAGATCATGAACAGTGATCTATAATTTAGCTTTAAGAGTTAATTTTGACTGAATTTCCATGTCTTCATCTCCGATTATTACAGAACTAAGGTTGGAGTCTTCATGTCCGAATTTATTCAGCTTTATTTTGCATGGTTGGTGTTCGCATTTTGCAGTGCTAAGGGGAGAGAAATTAGAGGGTGGATCTCTGCTCGCCGGTTGTGTTTGAGTGGGCTAGACTGCCCGTGAAAGCTTGGATTTGGTTCTTGGGCCCCACTTCTCCTGACAAACTCCCAAATTTCGTTGTCACAGCAATTAATTTTCTGTCATGGTAAGGGTTGGAGGCCAGCAGTTGAGAGGGAACAGGAGTTCCTCAGGAAGAAAACAGTCAAATCTCTTCTTCTTCTTTTTTAAATATTTTTAAAAGAATTTATTTTTTTTATTTTTTGTTATCTAAATTATTATTTTTTGTTTTTTTAAATTATTTTGATGCATTGATATCAAAAATAATTTTTTAAAAAAATAATTTTTTTTTAATTTATTTTCTAGTGAAATTTTTTAAAAAATAATCATTACAATACTTTCAAATACCCCTTTAATATCATAAATAGCTAATATTGTATTGGTGGCTTATACTATGAAACTGGCCAGACCATATTTTTTTTAGCATAAAAAAGATTTTGAGATAACACTAATATTTTAAAAAAAATTAAAAAAAAATCAGAAACTCAGGTTATTAACTCAACTTGATTCTTTAATGATATCATTAACAAAAAGCTACAAGCGAACTCAAAAATTATACAATAATCAATTTCATGTAAAGATATCCTTTTAATATCTTTAAAATGTGTCATATTATTTGATTTGATAACAAATTAAAAATTAAATATAGATATGATAATATCATAGAAAATAAAATAAAAAATTCAAAGCTCAATTTCCAATAAATCAAAACTGAGGGACAAAATTAAAAAAATATTATATTAAAAAAGAACAAAAAAATCCACTAGAGTCCACCCAAGTTAACCTTTCAAATATACAACTTAGTCATGAGATTGAAATAACCTCATAATAAAAAAATTAAATAAAATAATGAAGCTCAAATTTCAAATAACTTAATATTGAAGAGCAAAATTTTTTTTTAAAAAAATAAATCTACAAAAGAGAAACGAAAAAAAAATACTCGAGTCAACTAGGATTAACATGCTAAGCCCATGACCTTGGACATGAGATTAAAATAACCTCATATAAAAAAAACAAAAAAAAAAACATGAAACTCAATCTCCAACCATCGAGTGTTGAAGAATAAAATTAAAAAAACCTTAAAACAGACCAAAATCAACCTGAGCTAATCTTTGAAACTTATGACCCAATTAAGTTACGAGGCTAGGGCTAACCTCACAAAAAATGAACCCAAAAAAATTCAATAAAAAATAATTTTAAAAATAACATGACGCTTTTAATTTTGGCAAACCAGTTGATTCTTAAGGAGATGAGATAGAAAAGAGAGGAGAAGAAAAAAAAAAAAGCAGTTAGAACCTAACTGCTACATGTCCATTGACACGTTTCTAATCAACATCGCTGCTGAAGCAACAAAAATAGTAAATTTAATTTTTTTTTAAGATTCCCAAGAATTTTATTAGACAATCTAGGGTTATTTAGGATTTTATTGAAGATTATCTAAAGATTATGTTTTATTTATGAGGTTGAATTAATTTTCTTAAGACTAGATTGTTGCAAACCAAAAACCATCCAAGTATACAACCTTTGATAGTAATCTGCTTGAATCACGAGTGAAAAATCTCCTAAAACCTTTTAAGAGAGAATAATTGTTATACCTTAGTGATAGCTCTAATTTTTCTTTATTCTGTCTATTAATACAGGTAGACTGTATATAATATGTTTTGTATCATAATTTATAAAAAATATAAGACATAACATTCTATTTGTAAGAAAAACTTAATAATTCTATAAATGACAAAATATTACTTTGTTTTCTAAATAATATCACACATATTATTTCAATATAATTTTTAAAAAATCCTCAATAAAATTTTTGCTTGATTTTTATATATTTAGAATTGTAATTCCTTGTATTAAATATATTTAGTCCTTAGTATCACACATGCATGATTGATTATGTTAATTTAGATGAAAAAAGAATTTATAAAAAATATAAAAGAAACTCAATATTTTATAACAACTAGATTAACTAAAAATATATTAAGAACTCACCCTGTTATATAATATGAGATTGAGTCATTTCTTTGGTTGGTTCG